CTCTTGCCAAAGGCTACCCCTCCTGTCTACATTTTATCCATATTATATGACCCTATTTATATGAAATGTACAGAAAAGGCAATTTCATAGAGACAGAAGGTCAATTAGTAGCTGCCAGGGGGTGGGGGTGGGGTGGGGAGAATAGGGTGTGACTGTTAACAGATGATGAAAAATTTCTGGAATTTGTGGTGATGGTTACACAATCTTGTAAACATCCAAAAAACCACTGAATTGTACACTTTTAAATGGTGAACTTTATGGAATATGAATTATGTCTTAATTTAAAAAGTCATTTTGATTTTAAAAATGGCCACCCCCCACCCCAGGCTTCCTTCCCTCCCCATCCCACCCCCACAAGATCCTCAACCTTCTCGCTCCCAGCCAGGTCCACCAGATACAGCTTCCCACTGAGCTTCTGCTCAGTCTCCATGTTCTCCTGCTTGATGTTGATGAGGAAGATGCTGTGGCTGCGAGAGCTGTGCTCATTCATGTCTGTGGGAAGAAGAGAGAAACATTCCTGGTACCAACCCCAGAGGACTGAAGCCCTAAGCCTGGCTTCTTCTGTCTGCCATCCCCACCCACCAAGAAAGAGGGTGCTGCCTGGACTAGCCCTGCCACTATATCTCCCAGGCAGCAGGGTCACACAAAGAGGGTCCCTTCTCTGGAAAACACAGTCTTCCTTTGCTATCTTTTGAGTCCTTCAGCCCCCAAGGGCACAGAGGAAAGACAGACTCCAGACTCAAGAGCCCCTTAAATCCCCACTCACTGGTGACAGCCACATGACGGTTTGATTTCCCCTCGTCAATCACATCTAAAATCTCCTCTGGGCTGGACACAAAGCGTTCAGTACAACCCTGCAGGGGGCAAATGGACAATGACCCATAAACTTTGATCTGCAAATTAAATTACCTGCACAATAATGAAATGACCTTTTCAGACAGTGTCCTTTCCAAGCCCCCAGACTCTCCCCGGCCCCTTGTCGTATCTCACCCCTCCAGGAGATCCACCCTCCAACTTCTAGATTACTGGTCTAACCTCCTCCCATACCCACACTCCCAATGCACTGGCCTGGGTACCTCTATCCCCACTCTCACCTTGACAAATGGCACCCGGTTCTTGTCCTCATGCACAGACAGATTTGTCTTGGTCACTGAATCAAGACAATATAGGGTGAGCAAAGCCAGAACTTCTACCCTCCAACCCCCAAACCCCCGCACTATATAGTCTGCTCAGATGGTCATTTCTTCTATGTGCAAAAGGGAGGAAGACTTCCCTGTGAAGCCTAAACTCCTTGTATGTGCTGAAGACTCAGTTTCTCCCCTTGCAGGATTCTAGCCCCAGGGGTCCAGCTTGTCTCAGGCTGTTTATATGTGGGCCTGGGCATCTAAGCTCATACTCTGACCCTTTCAGTTTTTGGAAGTCTTGGTAAGTAGCGGCAAGGAACATGGGTATGAGTGTGTGGCCCTTGTGTGCCCTCTGCATCTCTTGCCAAACATATCTAACTCCAAGAGCAGTGTGATCTTTCTCTTCCTTGCCCTCCTCACACCCCCACGCACTTGCTAGAGTTAAACACCACTTACCATCCAGAAGGTCACGAATTTTGTCCAGGTAAATCTCAAAGTAAGAAACCTGGTTAGGGAGAAAAGAGGAATATGAAGTGAAGAAGATATATCTTAAGGAATCTCAACCTAATGTAACCTTCTCCAACAGTAGTAGTGAGAGGAAAAGAACAGAAGAGACTATCTTGGGGGAGAAGAACTGAGGTAATCAGAGGGAGAGAATAAATTGGGGTGCCCAGGATCTTGCTGGTTTCATACTAGATCTTTTTTTTCCCAGTCCCCATCTGAAGATGCCCAGGGTCATTCCCTGATCACCTTGATGTGGAACTCAAGATTCTCATCCATGGAGTAGATGTGGTTGAAGATGTCTCGGGCAATTCGAGGAATAATTCCCATCAGCTGAGGGTCATGCAGCTTTCCCTGGTGAGTAAGGGTATTCCAGAATGAGGCTGGGGCTCAGGAAGAATGAGACCACTCAGAGGCATGCAAGAGACCACAAAGGTAATAGTTGACAGGAACCATACTAAGTTAGGAGACAGTCACTGTCATGTCTACCTTTCAGTGGAAAAAGGAGAGAATTGAACAGTCCTTTGGACTTTTGTTGCTGCTGCTTTTCCAGATCAAAAGAAGAAAACTGGAGTAGTGGAAAGGAGAACAAACTGCAGCAGGCTGAAGGGATTCTGTTACACTCCCACTAGAATATGGCCCCTCAGTTCATCCTTAGGACCCAGCTACCTCTGAAATAGGCAACCCTGGATTCCTAGCTCTTCTCTCACTGAGATTCCTTGGCCTCCCAACATCACTCCCTGCTCCTCACCCTTCATGGAAGTCAGAATCCTCACCTCCATAGTATGTGTTTTTCCTGAGGATGTCTGTCCATAAGCAAATATGGTGCCATTGTAGCCAGCAAGGACATCTGGAAGAGATGGTGGAGAAAAAGCACTGGTGGAGAGAAGTGGGGGAGGGAATGGGGAGCTGGAAAAAATGCATTCTAAAAATGCATCCATTACCTTTGACAATCTGCATGGCACATGCATGATAAACTTGCTCCTGAGTCGTGTTTGGGGGAAATACACGGTCAAAGACATATGGCTTTCCCTGGAGTGGAAATAAAAGATGGTAGGGTATGAGAGAGAAGAAATACTGAAACCTCTTCCATCAGTCTGAGAAGGCACTTGTTCTTTAACCATCCATATGCATGGACAATTATGGGGATGAGGGAAACTAGAGAGAAACAAAATTTAGTATTGCTATTAAGAGTTGTGTCCATGTGGTAGAGAGTGTCATTGAGGAGTGTCACACAGTGAGATTGTGTGAGGGGATCTCAGTCTGGGTATGATGATCTAGCACTCCACCACCGTGGACCCCCCACACTGGGAAACGAAGTGGGAAAAGACAACAGAAGCACAGGCTACAGAGAAGACATAACAACTCATTAACATTAAAAATCTGCCCCAAGTTTAAAAATATCTTCCTCAATAGATCCATATGTCCTGATATGGAAAGACCTTCAAGATGTGTCAGGTGAAAGATGCAAAGTTAGAGACCGATATATAGTATGTTCCCTATTATATAATGACATATGTGTGTGTGTGTGTGTGTGTGTGTGTGTGTGTGTGAATCTATATTGAGCTGCTGAGCTGCTGTGGAAACATTGACACAAGCTCCCTTTAGAAAGGAATATATAAAATCAGAAATATGGGTCTCCCTTTAAGGAAGCAGTTTTAAGTAAAGAGAAAATGAAGCACATCACTCAAACCTACAAGTACTTTGCTTAACTCAGGTAACATGTTATAAATCATGTGTGCTGATAAGAATGCTAAAGATACAAAATATTTACAACCCAAAGAGCCAAAGAATATATTTGATATCTAATCATATTAAAGGGAAGATCTCTGGTAAGATTAAATGAAACTAAGCTTTTTCTCCATCATGTGACAAATTTCTCAGTCCTGATTACCTGCCATTCCGTATAAAGAGATCATGATTTAGTTGTCAAATAGTTTCACTACAAAGCCCATCTTTATCCAACTGAAACATAAACTTTTAGGTCTATGGACATCAGAATCTGGGAGACACATTTTACCTAATTAAGGAAAGTCATAAAACTTGGCTAAAGCTGGAGATGTGGCTCTAGGTATAGTTACAATAGCACATCAATTTATATAGAACTTTTTTTCTAGAAGAAATTACACAAAAGTATGAACAGTGTTTACTTTGGGGAGAGAAACTGAAAAAGCAGAGGCTTTCATTTTTCATTTTGTATCCTGGATTGTTGACATGTTTAAACCATGTATAAGTGTTATATTTTTTATTTTTTGATGTCGACGAAGATGAGACAATAGTGCATTATTTTGTTTCCTTCTTTTTACTTCTTTGTGTAAAGGAAAACTAGTAAATATTATTTTTAATATTGATAAGATTTTAAAAATTTGGCTTATGACAAAAATCTACCTGAAATCTTTATCTCGTCTTTGTGGTAAAAGCCTCTGAAACCCAAAAAACAGACTCCACCAAGAGAAAGAAGTTGTGAAGGCACTCTATAGAGAAGGGAGTACTATAAACCGAGAGCATCTTTCTTTTTTTTAATTTTTAAAAATTACTTATTATTATTTATGCCTCCAGCACTTGGACTTCCTAGGTGGTCTCCCATCCAAGTACTAACCAGGCCCAACCCTGCTTAGCTTCTGAGCTCAGACATCAGGCTTGTTCAGGGTGGCATGGCTGTAGACCATGGACCGTGGCTCCACGGGGGTGCGTGAACCTTCTGCTTGTAAAGCAAGGGTGCTAACCGCTACACTATAGAACCACGTCCAAGATAGCATCTTTCTAGAGGACAATTCTATTAACTATTTAAACGTCCATACTGTTTGTACTCTGTACCAACAACTCCAGTGCTAGGAATTCACTTTACAACACTTGCTCAAGCATTTAAAGAAGTTCACTGCAACTGTGTGTATTAAAGAAAAACCAAAAACAATTCAAACATCCATCAAGAAGATATTGGTTATAATCCTACCACATTCTACCCCTGTTAAAATGAGCCAGGTTGGTTTAGATATACTGACATGTCCAAGATCCATTGTTAAGTGAAAAAATAAAAAACAATGTATATTATGTGATTACACTTTTAAAAAGGCGTATGGATAAAATAGCCTTAGAAAAAAAGATAAAGAAGACTATACAGACCTGTTAATGGTAGTTATCACTGGAGAGCAGAATGACGGAACTTATACTTACTATATTTTTCTGTGATATTTAAATATTTTATAATGACAACATATTGCTTTGAAATTAAAAAATAAAACATTATAGATGATGTGATAAAAAATATGTAATGACATGACAAGGTATGCACGAAAAGCAAAAAGGTGGTTTTTAAAATAGTAAGCAATGTTAAAAAAAGTATGCGAAGGATGATTCCATTTCTGTAAAATCAAATATGTATATGTATACCTTGCATAGAAAAACATGTTAATAGTAGTTATCCTTGGACAGTGAGATTTTAGGAGTTTTTTGTTCTTTTGGATTTAGATTTAAAACTTATTCTAAAATAAAGATATGTGATTTTTAAATAAGAAAATTTTAGGTTTTTAAAACAAAGCTAATATTCTTATGACATAAAGAACTCTCATAAATTGGTAACAAAAAGACAAACTAAACAAAAAAATGGACAAGAGCTAGGTACTTACAAAGGAAGAAATACAGATGTTCAACATTTTTGAAGAAAAGGAAACTAGAACAGTAACATCATTTTGCACCTACTAAACTGGAAAACAAAACAATTGTAATAGTCCTTGTAGCTGAGGGTTCAGGAAGTATAATTTCCTTAAAATGAGTACCCTCATTCTTTTCTGGTAGGACTGTACACTCATAAACTTTTTTGGGTGTAATTATATATGTCCATTGACCCAGATATATTTGTAGCCAATACTTAGCCACAAGAATGTTTATTATCGCACTGCTTATAATAACAAGAAATTAAAAACAACTCAAAGGAGTAACATTTAGGGGACTGGTTTAGATAAGGAATTGATTAAATTATGGCATGTGCATATATTTTATTCTTTGCTATTTAAAATGATGTCATAATAGAAGATTATGACGTGTTGAATGAAACAACTCTAACACAAAGACGTGTTGAATGAATCAACTCTAACACAAAGAGCACATACTGTATTATTCCCTTAATATGAAGTTCAAGAATAGACAAAGCTTATCTATAGTGATAGAAGTCAACATAGCCATTGCCTGGGGATGATACTGACAGGAAGAGGGCACAAGGGAGCTTTTTAGGGGTGAAGGAAATTCTCTAGATCTCATTCTGGGTAATGGTTACATGAGTGTCGAAATATGTTATAAAATTCATCAAGCTATTTGCATAAGATTTGTGGACTCGCTGTACATAAATTATACCCCAATAAGTGCTATCATGAAATACAGCATCATAAAACAATGGCTCCTAATATATGAGTTGATGTACAACCTCATTGATAATATAAGAGAAATGCATATTAAGACTAAGAAATACCATTTTAACTTATCAGAGTGGCCACAATAAAAGAGTTTGATGATGCACTGCATTGATGAGGGCATACATAAACTGGGCCACTCTATGAAAGGCGACTTGAAACTAGCTCTTAAATTTTTAAATGCATATACCTTACGCCCTCCACTTCTAAAAATGTATCCTACAGACATACTGCACATATGAAAAAAATTATATATACAAAATCATTCAGTTGTTTGTAATAGTAAATGATTAGGACAACCGTAAATACCCATCAATAGGGATCTGGTTAAATAAATTATAACATATTATACAGTTATTAAAAAGAATGAGATATATCTTTATGTGCTGATATAAAAAGATCTCTAAGACTCATTTTTTTTTTTAAAAAAGCAAGGTACAGAACAGTATGTATATTATGCTACCCTTCGTGTTAAAAAAAAGAAAAGCATATGCGTGTGTATATGTATTTGCTTATAAATGTGTAGTATGCTTTCAGAAACATCCACAAGAAACTTTGCCTTCTGAAAGGAGAACTGGGTGGCTAGAAAAGAGGGGTAGGAAGGAGGCTCACTTTTCATTATACACTTTTTTATGTCATTCAAGTTTTGTCACATGTGCATGTAAGACTTATCCAAAAATTAAACATTTAAAAAATAAAATTATCTAAAAATGATGGTAAAATTTTTTTAATGAAAAAATAGCTTACAAAACAACATATAGTTATGATTTATTTTTAATAAAATTGATATATGTATATATGCAGGAAAAATAAACACCAGAAACAAATACATCAAATTGTTAACAGTGTTTTCCCTGGGGTGGTGGTGGGATTTTTGACTGATTTTTAGTTTTTTCTACGTGCTTTTGTTTTTAACTTAGTCAACAATTAAAATATATTAGTGTGCAATCAGGTTATACTTAATATTATTAAAGAAAAATCTACCTTGATTCTTTTTTTTTAAGGTGTGAGTTAAGTTTATAGGTTATTTATAGGACTTCCGTGAATTTTCCATCCTTTTTACCTGTAGAGTTTATCATTACACTTCATTACAAAGAATAAAATCCTTATTACATAGAATACAATCATAGTGTTACAATAAACAGATTTAGACAAATTGATGTCTCTCTTCCTCAGTGATAATATCTTTCTTTTTAAAATTTAATTTAATTTTTTTTCATTGATTCTTGAATTGTTATCTAACTCAATGTTTCTCCCATCTAGTGGCCAAGAAACAGAAACAATCAAGACACACCTATCTCAGGCCAATGACTCTCACCTCTTCTCTGCCAATGATGTCTATCCATGCTTCTTGAAGCCAGGCATGCAGCCAAAGGGGATTAAATATAACTCTCAAGCCAACCTTGCCCCTCCCTTCTTCCCTTCTGGAAACACCGGCACCCACACACACACACACACACACACACACAGTTAAAGAATTCCAAATGGTGTTGTGGACTCATTAAAATGGAGGGCGCTCTCCAAGTGCTGAAAGCATTTATTGTCTGAGGAACCCCTTTTCCTCAGCCTAGGCTAAGAGAAAGCGATTGGAAGGGAGGAAGGGTGGCATTCTCAGTACTGTGAGGATAAAAGATATCTAAGAGGTAGAAATGGGTGCACTTTGTAATCCCATGAGCAGGGAATGCCATAGACACGAATTACAATTTCAGGGTTCTGGGAACCCTGTTACCACCTCCCTATTCTTAAATGGGCTCTTGAATTCCAAGCCAAGCTCTTCTTTCCTTTATCTTAAGATTTTTATTTCTATTAAAGTGTAACTTTATTTTAAGTTTCTATTGATTATACTCAGGATGAATTTCTTTTAGGAGACCTTTTTATGAAAATAACTAGATCAGTGGTTTTCTGCTTTTTTCTGCCTCTAGACTGCTCACATGGGAAACATCACCATTATTTACATCTCTTAAAGCAATTGACACACAAGTACTTTGAGTCAGACTGGTATGTTGTGGGGGGTTTCTTGTCAGAATCTGGGAGAGTGTATGTACAGTTAGCAAAAGCCATTTCTGATGCCCTCTCCCAGGCTTCTGCCCAGACTACTCTGAAGTCTGGGTCACCACATAGACCAAGACCTTCTTGAAGACAGGGATTCCCTCTAAATCTCATCAAGTACAGTCCTTGGCCCATAGGATGTTTTTCAAAATATATGTTGAATAAACACAGATATTGATAGAGGAAGAGAGCAAGAACATTCTAGAGACCTGGATGTTTGGATGAAACAACCACTAAGAGAGGAAAATATTAACCACTTCCCAATTGTGTCAAAGGCTAGCTTGTGGGGAGACAACATATATAAAATAACATCTAACTCTTATTGGGATTTTTATTATGTACCTGTCACTGTGTTAAGCAGTTTATTATATACATTATCTCATTTAATGCTAACAATCTTAGGAGGTAGGTACTATTACTATTCTATTTTATAGATGGAGAAACTGCAATTCAGAGAGGTAAGGTGGCTTGCTCACAATCATGCAGCTGAGACATGGTAGAGTACGTTTTCAAACTCAAGCATCTGATTCCAGACCCACAATGCCAAAGTGATCCAAGAACTGAAGCACCAACATTGTGTCCGATCCTCATCATGGCTTTTCCTTCTCCTTCCCCATATGGTCCCCCAATTTGGACATTTCTCCGAATGTTTCCAGACAGAATTAAAGACTTTCATCACTCCCTTTTTCCAACTTCAACCCCATCTTCTCCAAGGAGCCTCCTTTACCTTCTCTACCTCCAGGTAATCGAAGACTCCATAAGTTGGTGCAATATCAGAGACTGGAAGACTTAATAAATTAGAAATGCTCAAGGAGACCCTCTACCTTCGAGAAATGCTAATGAGACCCACCTTCTCTTTCACACACAGCAGTCTAAGCCCTCCTCAAAGTCTTCTCTGGAGAGCCTCCCTTCAGTTCCACAGCCCAGGGCTGTCTGTTTTCCTTTAACCCCACTCCAAGCCTTCTAGCTGTCTTCTTGTCCATTTGTGTCTCCTAGTACCTTTGTGTAGTTTTCCATTATGTGTGCTGACTAAAGCTAATGGGAGGGCCTTCAATCAGGGTCCAAAGATGATCAACCTTTCAACCCTCAGTAAAGCGCCTGGTAGAGGCTGAACTGAGCACCAGGCCTGATTTCCATGGTGACACCCCTGGGGATTGTTGCCATGGTAATGCTGGAGAGAAACTGGCCACAATGAACATACCTCCCTTCTCCATATTCCTTTATGAGACTCCACCAAAGCTAAGGGGAAACCTGCTCCCCATCTTCAGATATCAAAGAAATCCCAGGCCACCCCAAACAATACTGACTCTGATCCAACAATCCTGCAGGCTTCAACCTAGCTTTTCCAAATGAGGCACTTGATGGTCCTGAGTTTTTGCCTCCTTAAGAACCCACTTAACCATTGGGAGACCTGAGGGATGTAGAATGCAGTGGATACTTGAATGAAGGAGGGAGAGAAAGAAGGAAAGAGAGAGAAAAAGTGTGTGTGTGTGTGTGTGCTTCCTGTTATCCTTCCCACTTTGGTATAGATGCAGCAGCCCAGATAGCAGGCATTAGGACACTCTGACCATTGAGACCAAGAAAGACACTTAAATGGGTCCAGTGAAAAAGCCATAGGGGATTCTGAGTGAGAAAGAGCAAAAAAAGTATATAGCATGCACAGACAGTGACCTGAGCACCCTTCTACTATGACTCAGGCCATAAACTTTGACTAAGCCCCATCCCCCGGATTCCTGGGAGAAGTCGGGGGAATGGGGGAGGGATAAGGCTCACAGAGTTGTTTCTCTGGCTTATTCTTCTACCCTTTGCCAAGCAGAGAAAAGCCCATGAACATTAAGGACTCTAAAGCCTAGAGCTAGCCAGTGTCACAGAGGCAGAGGAGAGAGCTGTTAGAAAAAGGAGCAGGGGCTGGGTGTGGAGAGATCACCCTTTCCCACTTTCACTTTTCCCTCACCTTCCCAGACATCCTGAAGTGGCTTCCTCCATTAGTTCCTCAGTTTCCCACACACTGGGCTAGAGGAGGGCCAAAAGGAGATAGAGGAGGAAAGAGGAAAGGGGGTAGAAGATTTCCTTTCCTTGTTGGGACCCTCAATAGTCTTCTCAAAAATCACTTCTCTAGCCCTCATTCTCCTGAATGAGGAATGAATAGTAGGGCTGGGAAGACAAGTTCCAAGGATGTTGCCTGAGACAAAAAAGCCCCCCATAAGCATTTATCTTGGAGTAAGAGACTAACAGGAAGGGCTTGGGCAATGGAAGATACAGAGTGAGACAAAGGTACAGCCCTACAAATATCAGGCAAAACTGACAATGAAGGACCAGCTGTGGAGCTAAGATAGAATCTGAATTGGCAGGGTGCCCTGGGCCTCTCTTTACCGCTCCTTCTTCCCTACCTTCCACCGTTTCTCTCGTTTAGCTAGGCAAATTGGACAGATCAACGCCACACTCCTTCTCCCAACATTGCGCCATGCCCCATGCTCACCAGGCCAGGATGAACAGCCCAGAGAGCCTGGAGGATTTGGTTTAGACTTACCTAAAAAACCTACAGCAACGAAGCTAGGCTTAAAAGTAGAAGCCTTTTGTGGATTTGCTCCCCCATAACCACCTCCCTCCTGTTTCTCAGCATTTACATCTCAGAGGGACCTTATGTTCCAATTCTCATAGTTAATGCCTACTGTTTAGACTACTCAGAGAGGAGTCCCCCAGGGTTGATCCACTGACCAGACTGCATGGCCTAATGTCCCTGAGGCAGAGAAAGACAAGGACTCACTCTATGTGGCAGGCACATATTCATAAGCACACACTCAGCAAAAGCACCCATTTGAGTTTACACTGTAGGTGAGAGAGCTCAGCTTGGTGACAGACTAAGGCCCTTGAGGAAAGGACCTGTAAGCAGGTCTCTTCCTAAGGCATGTTTACTCAAAGTCCCATTCTCACTGATTCAGAAGGCCCAGGTTCCTTTCCTTTCTTTCCTTCATTCCTTTAACAAGTATGCCTTGTTCTAAGCTCTGTAGATCAAAGATACATAAGAAGTGCCCCTGACCTTGAGGACTGCCCTCATATGTGCCCCTCCCTTCTCAAACTGGCTACAGTTTCCTGGCTCAGCACCCCTCAAGCCCTACTGGACTCAACCTCAATCACTTCACCCCATAGCCTGACAATCCCTACCAACCTAGGAAAGGAAGGGTAGGTTAAGAATGCCCTTTGGGCCATGACAGATAAAGGTCCAAAACAGAAAAATGCAGAGGCAGTGTGGCAGAAGAAAAGACATGAGCTTTGGAGTCATAGATTTAGGTGCAGATCCATGAATTGACAGTGTGACCTTGAGAAAAATTCAACTACTTTGGGCCTCAATTTCCTTATCTGTAAAATGGAAATATTAATACCTACTTTAGAGTATTGTTTTGAGGATTAAATAGTGTATATAGAGTAACAAGCACACAGTAAATATTAGTTCTCTTTCTTCATAAGGTCTCCTCTATGGGTAGGGGCTGTCATGATGAGGTAGAGGTGGCTTACTACTTTTTATTGGATCATCAAGAGAGAGGATGAATAAGCAAGTACTTGTTAGGCTCTCAAGGTCTATTTATTTTTATTTGTTAGGGGGAGGTGCGTGGGTCTGAAGTCCTCTTCCTACTGTACCTGGGAGGGAAAGGCAGATATTTTCTTAGGACCCCAGAGGCTCCCACCCCCACTCCCTGCCCCCGCCAAAAAAACAAAAACAAAAACTGGGTGTGGCATCAATGTATTTCTTCCTCAGAAAACCCTTCATCAGTTCTGTGCCCTCCCCCCAAGTCCAAGTAGTAACTACTTCAGAGGATGATGGAGGGCTTGGTTTTAGAGCCTATATATATATATCTCGCAGAGACCCCGGACTGCCTACCTCCGATCTAGCCCATCCACTCGTCTTCCACCTCCCTTCCTGGGAGGTGGAGGTAGAGATCTGAGCCAATAACAAAAGGAAGATGCGTTTTCTCTAGGGGAGACGAAAAACACCAGAAAAACATGAGACTGACTCTAGGCAGTGGAGACGGTGCAGCAAGCAGCAAAGGGGAGTTGGGTGACCTGATCGATGAGAAGTAGCCCCCTCCCACTCTGCAGAGACTTGGCCCATGGCCTGGCCAGGCCACACCCAGCCATCCTGATGCAGAGGGGAGGAGGGGCTGCGGCGAAAAGGATGGAGGATGAGAGGCGCGGAGGGGGCGCAGAGTGACAGGCAGGGGCTAAAGCCCGCCGAGGGGTAGGATTCAACCTCCCACCTCCTCCCCGAAATTCCCTCCCGGGCGGCACTCACCCCAATAACGACGCTGTCGTCCCCTTGAAAAATGGGGATGAATTTGTCCCCCCGCAGAATCTCGGCCTGGTTCAGGGGCCGAAATCGGCAGAGCACCTTGATGCTACATTCGTTGTTGGTCTCCGCCATGGTGGTCGCCGGCGTGGGGCTGGGGCACTTCTTGAGCGGCAGGGGTGGTGCGTGCTCCGGGGGCGAGAGCTCACCGGAGGCCGAGGCAAAGGACAGGTGCTCGGTCTCTGGGGGCGCCCGGGCGAAGGCTGGGGAGCAGAGCCGGGACGCACTTCTCTCCTGCGGCAGTGGGATGCGGGAGAACTGGACGCCTGGTCCTCAATGGGCGCTCTGCCTCTCCGCCCCTAGCGCTGCAGCGCCGCGCTGCGGGCCTGGGCGGGGCGGCGACCAAAGAGCAGGGCGGGGCTTCCTTTGCTGGGGGCCTGGAGCTTGCCGTCCACCATCGAGTGGTGGCACCTTCCCTCTCCTCTTGTTTCTTCTCTCCACCCCTAACTCTCGAAGATAACCTTGCCCTCATCCTTTCCCCACTCTACTCACTCTCTGCATCCATCCCCGACATCCTTGATCTGTGTTTCTCTCTCAGACGCCACTCCGCTGGAAGAAATAAGGGGTCTATGGTGGGCCTGTTGCCTGTCTAAGGAAGAGAATTTACAGCACTTCCACCCCCTTTACTCCAGGGCATCCTCTACCCCTGTCACAATCCTCTGGCCAAATTAGGAGCACACTTCTCATTCCCTTTCCCCACACCCCTCATACAGAATCCCAGCCCACTCAACCTTCAGGGGCAGCTCCCTGTACCTCTATGGAGTGGCTGTCTAGGTCTCATTTTTTCAGAGAGAAGTGTCAGGAGACATCTGGCTATTCCCTTCTCTACATCTAGAAGTGTGGTCTACACTGTCTCCAATATACATGCCAAGTCCTCAGTTTGAAGGAAAACAAACTCTCATTCTGGGCTATTAGAATTCAAGCGCCGATAAGATTCTCATTTTTGCCTCATAGATTGGGCCTGGGATAGAGGTGGGCAAGAGTAACTTTTGCAAGAGAAAGGGAGTCAGAAAGCAGTGAAGGAGGGGTGATGATAGCAATAGGTATAACCAGAGGTAATTTAAGAGAAGACTTCTAGGGCAGACATCTGTGTTTAGGTTGTTGGCAGGTTTAGGCACCTATATGAGTGTGTTTTCTGTCTCAGTTGCTATTGGACAGAGTCCCAACATCCCAGCCGCTTTCTCAGGCTCTCTTTTTTTCTGTTTCTCTCCCTTCTTTGGCAAAAAAAAATAAAAATAAAAATAAAGAAAATAAGAAAAGAAAAATTAAAAAGCCAAGCTTAGAGATTCTTTGTTCTTTCTCTCCTTAGGTCAAATTCCTTCCTGCTGCAGCCCATGGGCAGAACCATCTAGAAGCTGGCCAAATTGATTTTTCTCCACATCACAGGCCTCTGCTGGCCAACAGAGTTACACTGCAGGAGTTAAGGCTCTCAGCCAAAGGGAGGAGCAGGGTGATGGGAGAAGGGAGGAGGGGATGGTGATGGTGGTTCTGCATAGAAATTGTCTAAGGTCACTTGTATACTATGAGGCAAGGGAAAAGAATGATGGCCTCACCACTCAGAATTCAGCTGAGGAGTTTTCCCAAATTGGGCCTATACCTCTAACCCACCTTGAATCTTAAGGAAACTGAAGGAGAAGTGTCCAGCATAAGAAATTGGATGGGAAGGCAGTGGGACTATGGAGAAAGAGGGGTAGAGGCTTGGGGATGAACCAAGAGAGTGTGCATAGAATGACAATGTGCTCCAAACTAAAGAAAATAGGCATCCCTCCAGCTACTTAGTCTGGCACTATTTCTAAATGTTGCAGCATCCTGCAAGCTCAGGGAACATCCTGAGAAACATCCCAACCTCAGGCCCCCAGGGGCTCTAGGGCAGCATCCTTAGTGGAGGAGTTGCAAAATGCTAGTCCATGGAAGGTCACTGGTCAGAGACAAAACTTATGGATAAGTACCTCCCCCCCCCAAAAAAAAAACCCCACACAGTGTGATTTTTCATAAAGCAAGATTTATTAAGTTTCAAAGGACTGTCTTTTATTCTGTGAGTATATCCTTCCTACTTTTCTGCTAAGAAATGATGGCAATAGTAAATAGTATGTTTTCTTTTCTTTTTAATGTACCTACTTGGCAAATAAAAAGGTAGCAATACCACGTCTAGTCTCATAAAGGTTTGTTGTTTTAATTTTATTGACCTGTCAAAATTCAAGTCTGAAAACAGTGAAGTGACTAAGAACACAAAGGGTATTTGGACCTAGAGCCACCACTTACCTATTTATGAACTTGAGATAGGATTGCCAGATTTGAAAAATAAAAACAGAATGCCCAGTTAAATTTGAATTTCAGATTTTAAAAAAACTAATTTTTTTGTGTGTGTTATTATGTCCTAAATATGGTATGGGATGTACTTATAGTAAGAAAACTATTAGTTGGGTATCTGAAATTCAAATTTAACTAGGCGTCCTATATTTTATCTGACAGCCCTAAATTGAGACTATTATTTCATTTTTTAATTCCTAATATGACTAAGCCTTTCTTAAAGTTTAGTCATTATCGTCATTTCTGAATTCCTGGCTGTACCACAGCATGCCTAATTGTGTTATTTTTATATAGTCATTTAATTTCTGAGAATCAGAATTTATTCATTTGAAAAACAGGAATTACAAAAGCTCTTTCACAGATTTAATGTAAGAATTAAAGAAAAATTTTAATGAAATAACTCCCAAGGTGCATATTGTCATCTCCCGCCCAAGCCTCTGTCGGCCAAGACTACATATCCCACAATCCTATGCGGCGTCACCCCACCCCTCCCCCCCGCCTCGCGCCATTACCTCATTCTCGAGCCTCATTCTTGCCAACCCCTTTTCAGGGGTGTGGTAGCGGGCTGTTCTCGCGACTTTTGCTTTACCCTTCTCTTGTGTTACTGCTGTCGCGAGACTTCCTACTCCTCCGCCTCCTCCGCCGCTCCCTTTGCTGCCGCTTTAGCCTGGGACCCGGACCCAGCCTCTCCCCCACTCGAACGTCGGCCCCGGCTCTGCCGAGGTCCCGGTCCCCCAACCCCGCCTCGCCGCCGCCATGGCGGACCCTAAATACGCTGACCTTCCCGGCATTGTGAGTACAGGACCGGCCCCTTCTCCCCAGGACTGCGCCCTTGACTTACTAAGGACCCCCAACAGACACCAACCCGTGAGCCCTCTCACCTGCAGCCCCTTCTCCGTCCCCAGGGCTCCCGCCACTTGCTGCTGGACGGGCCGCAGCATCTTCCGGACTTCTCCAACTTGACTGGGCCGGGTCATGGGAAGGCCTACCAGGCCCCTTTTCCGGCGGTCCCCAGTTTCTCGGCCCAGAAATCGTCTCCGGGCCCTTACCACTTGTGCTCATTCGTGTCAACACTACCCGTGTCTCCCCAAATCTTCCCATAAGCCTTCCCCATCCCCACCCCAGACACACGACACACGTACTAGGCCACTTAGCGACGGCCTTCACCCTGCCAAGGAAGAGGTTACCGTATAAGAACTCTTCTTGTGCCAGATGGGGAACTCTGTCCTCTGGGGAGTGTCCCCCTCCAACTCCGCCCCGCCCCACCCCACCCCACACATGCTGGCTCGTATCATTTTGTGCTGCCCTGCCTGCATAGTCAGGGTTGGGTTTGGGTCACAGGACCTTGGGTTCTAAGGTTGTGAGTCACTCTCAACCCTTGTGCCAGGGTAGTGGTGTACAGGACCTAATTTGAGGATAGCCTTTCTACTTTTGACATGACTGCTAAGGACCCACCCTCCTTAAGATTCAGGGTAACATCTTTGTCATCAGTTACACTCACTACGTACCATCAATCAGGTCCCAGTTGCCCCACTGTCATCCCCATCCCTCTAAGACATGGGAACTGGTGTGCAGTTAACTGGGCATGTGGAAAAGAAGGGACAGAATTCTGGCATTACAGCCTGCCTTCTCTGTTAACTTGTTCAAATAAAATAGGGTCAGGGATGTTAGTGGATGCTGGGTAGTGAGGTTGGGTGTTCACTCCTCTACCTGCAGGCCAGGAACGAGCCAGATGTTTATGAAACCAGCGACCTACCTGAGGATGACCAAGCGGAGTTTGATGCGGTAAGACTGTGTGCTGCTTCAGGACTCGGCACTCTAACTTCTCTCCCTCAGGCAGGCCCTTTCCCTTTTCTGGGGAGCCACAGCAATAAGCGGGTATGCCAATCCAGTCTGGGTGGTGTGCAGGTTACAGGGCTTGCAAAGGCCTTGCTGTGCATGCAGCTACCAATGAGCAGTGCCAGGAAGGAGTGTCGGGTCAGTGGAATTCCAACTAACAAGACAACCCTTGACCTTTGAAATATCTCAAAACAGTTAGTTTTGGGGCTAGTAACTTAGGCCCCTGGGTGCTAGTCCATGGTAATGAATCATGAAGCCTGAGTACTTATAAACTGCTCGAGGTTAGGAACTAGGCCTTCAGTTCACAAATATGTCATTCGATACATGTTCACTAGTATTCTACCAAGAGCTAGACTTTGAAGTCTAGAAAAATACTCTTTCATATGAATATCCAGTATCTGTTGGGCAAGGAGTAAGAAAATGATTTGGAGATTTTAGAAATATGGGGGACCTGGTCGGAGCAAAACAAATTTGAGGAAGAACATAAATCTTTGATAACAGCAGAGGAGAGGCCCTAGTAGCACTTTCAGATCCAAGAACTCTGAGGAGGAAGGAATTAGTTGTGGACACATTTTAATAAGCGGAAGCACTTAGCATTGTTTATTGAATGTGTTCATTCTGTGTTGATTTTTTTGGTGTGTGCAATACAGAGGAAGAAATGTCCCTGCCCTTAAGGATCCCCCAGACTAATGCGGGAGTTAAGATACATATAGGAGACATGAATTGAGTGAATGGAAATCAACATAGTAAAAATTTCTGTGTGGAAGTGCCAAGGGGAGCAAAGATCTATTACCATTTCTCAAAGGATGTGTTTTAGGTTCTGTTATTTCTGAAGAGAGCTGGACTAGGGTCACATGGATGGTGGGAAGTAAAGTTGTAATCAAGAGTCAACGGCAACAGGCTTAGTATGTGTGTCTGTAAGTCCTGTGGCTATGTCTGTGGGGCTGGTTAGTTCTGGAGAATGCTGGTTGCTGGCTTATAATGTATGGCTTGGCATACTCACTTATTCTTTATTTGATTTCCCTCATGTGGAAGTTGTTCCTATTTTGTGGGAAACACCTTCCCTGTACCCTCACAGTGGTGTGTTCCTTGTGGCTTCTGTACTTGCTGGCGTGTCAGTCTCCCCAAAGCCTGAGTATCTGGAAATAATGCAGACATTGTTATTGTTCATGCACCTAAGTATG